GGAAGGAAAAAAGGAAGGAAAGAGAGAGAGAGGAAGGAAGGAAAAAGAGAGAGAGGAAGGAAGAAAGAAAGAAAGAAAGAAAGAAAGAAATGAAAGAGAGAAAAAGAGAGAGAGGAAGGAAGAAAGAAAGGAAGGAAAGAGAAAGGAAGGAAAGAGAGAATGCAAGAGAACAAGAAAGAGAGAGAAAAATAAAGGAGGAAAGAAGGAAGGAAATGTAGAGAGAAAGAAAGTAGTAGAGAGTGAAAGAGAGGAGGAAAAAAAGAAAGAGAAGAGGAAGGAAGGAAGGAAATGAAGACAGAAAGAAAGAGAAGACAGAGAGAGAGAGAGAGAGAGAGAGAGAAAGAAGCAGAGAGAGAGATAAGGAAAAGGAAGGAAGGAAGGAAGGGAGAAAAAAAGTAGAAGGGGGAGAAAAGACACAGAAAGAGAGGGCAGGAGGAGGAGGGGCAGAACCAGCTTTCTCTCTCCTCTCCTGTCTGTGGTGGTGGGGAAACTGTCAGCACTGGGGACAGTCTATCCTGACAGAACCCGATGGCAGGGGGATGAGGGGGAGCATACAGGAGCCAATGACAGCAGCAGATGGATAGGTGGGGTGGCCAGGCGGCACATAGAGGAACCGGAGCATGCCTTTCTCAATTGCCACCACTGAGTGCCTGCAGGAGGAAAAGGAGCAGAAGCAGGCATTCAGAGGCGGCAAGTGAGAAATGCATGCTCCGGTTCCTCTATGTGCCACCTGGCCGCCGCTCCTATCCAGGAGGCCCCAGCTCACCAGGCAAATGCCTAATGTGCCCTATAACCAGTCTGGGCCTGCTGGTCACAAGCTCACCAGGCTGCGGGTACCGGGATCCGCAATCCACTGTGTCCGGTGCTGCATGCCCCTATCCCAGAACAGGCTGGACGACGTACATGTACATGTGATCCAGCCTACCTGTACAGCTAGTGGTTCATTATGAAATAAACGTTCATCTTTCTTACCAAACAGGACCACTGTTGAGCTGCTTTCACACTGATCTGAGTTTCTTCTGTTTTTGCGTTAAAAAATCGGAAGAAAAATATATTGAACTCTTCACACTAGTCAGTTGCGGGTGCATTACATTTTTCAAAGTCTTGCTTGCTGCATTTTAGTGCATGTTTGGTGAGGCAAAAAAAAACCACACACACCAAAAATGCACCTCCCCTTTGAAATGGATGGAAAACGAATCAAAAACACACACTCCCCATTGAAATGAATGGAAATAATGACAAAAAGGTTATCAAAAATGCACCCGTGTTTGCGGTTTTGGGATTTTTTTTTTGAGTCACGTCAGGTAAAAAACGCACTGAAAACACAGCAAAAATGCACATTCCTTTTTACCGTATTTTTGCAGCTGAGCAGTGTGAAAGCAGCCTAAACCATTAACAGACCAACATGCTTAGTCACCAAGACTCGAGCAGTAATATCTTACACCAACCACAGTCCACCCACCAAGATGGACCATGATGAGGAAAATAGAACAAAGAGGAGGGTGGGCAGGGAGCAGGTTAAGAGCTCTAAAAGGACGGCTAAAGATAACCCAGAGGTATATCCAGAGGAGAGACCTGAGGTAGGAGAGGATTTTCAAGTGAAAACTTTCACTCATTGGCCAGCTGTTTTCCCGCCAAAGGATTTGTCACCAATCCAGCGTTCAGCTGACTGAGGTCTGTCTAGCAACTGAGGAAAATCCTCCTAGCAACAGCAGGCAGTTTATAACTTGAAACACAAAACAGAAAAAACGTAGCCTCCCTTGCGGTATGATTATGTCCATATTTCTGTACTCAAAGCGGTACATTTTTTTGCATGGAAATATGTCATTTTTTTATTGTAGGCCTGTAATTTTTAGGAATAACTCACTGAAATCTGTCCGAACAAGAGTCTAGTAAACATCCCGGGTATGTTACAATTTGAAACACGAAATCATAAATTATAATTTAATAAATAATCATAAAAAAAATAATAATATAATAATAAATTTAATTCAATAATATAATCAAACCAAAAACACTGAAATTTTAAATATAGCGCCAAGTTCGCACATCACTGAGCAAAGTCACAAAATTGTTTTCAGTGTCTGATGACGAATTTCCCCACAAATCATTATCACTCAATTCTGCAAGTCGTTCTGATTTACTATCGCTGTTCTCTAGCTGGTCTCAAACCAATTTTGACCTAAAGGACGCTTTTTGGACGCCATGGACGTTTCTCAGTTTCCAGGCAGAAAGGAACGGTAAAAATGCAGGCAGGGCACAGGACAGAGCACTCGGGACAAAATGTATGTGAAATGGTTTGATACAGGAATGTTTTACTATGTGATTTTAGTGAATTTAGTGAATATCACTTTTACAACTTTCAAATTTCCCGCCGTTCCATCCCCCGTACGTCCCGACGTCACAGGGAACGGGACCCAGAAGACAGATGCCGGGGGACATCGCGGGAGTGCAGGACAAGGTAAGTGCAGAAGAGATCCTGGAGCAGCGTTACGTGGTATTCCCGAGTGTAGCTCGGGGTTACTACTTGTGGTGCTGAAACTTTACCCCGAGCTACACTCGGGAATACCTCCAGGGAGGTTAAGGTGGAACTTTAGTCCTGCTAGATTACTCCAGGCTGGCCCCTTTTGCAGGTATAGCTGTCATTTCTGGTTTATTGCTTTTATTTTCTTAATGCAATTTTGTTGTCCATTTTGAAATATTTTGTTTTCTTATGTTTGAAGATAAATAAAAAAAAATATTTACTAAAAAAAAAAAAAAAAAAAAAAAAAGAGTGCCTATACTGTTTAACCACTTGCCTACCAGGCACTTCTACCCCCTTCCTGCCCAGGCCAATGATCAGCTTTCAGCGCTGTCGCACTTTGAATGACAATTGCGCGCTCATGCAACACTGTACCCAAATAACATTTTTATAATATTTTTTTAGACAAATAGAGCTTTCTTTTGGTGGTATTTAATCACTTCTGGGTTTTTTTTACTTTTTTCTAAACTAAAAAAGGCTGAAATTTTTGAAAAAAAAAAGTTTTTTCCTTAGTTTCTGTTATAAAATTTTGTAAATAAGTAATTTTTCTTCACTGATGTGCACTGATGAGGCTGCAATGATGGGCACTGATAGGCTGCACTGATAGATGGCACTGGTAGCTGGCACTAATTGGGAGGCACTGGTAGCTGGCACTGATGGGCATTGACAGGCATCACTGATGGGCACTGAGAGGCAGCACTCATGTATTGCACTAATAGGCAGCACTGATAGGCGGCACTGATTGGAACTGTTAGGTGGCACTGACTGGCACTGATAGGCACTGACTGGCACTGACAGGCACTGAGAGGTGGCACTGACTGGCACTGATAGGCGACACTGACTGGCATTGATAGGTGGTACTGATAATTGGCACTGAAAGGCAGCTCTGATGGGCACGGATATATGGCATTGATGGGCACACACACACAGGTGGCATTGATGGGCACTTACAGGTGGCATTGATGAACACTGACAGGTGGCACTGATGGGGCTACACTGATCATCAGGGCACTGATAATCAGTGTAGATGTCCCCTCTGAGGAATGCCTATTACGGGCTCTCCTCTCCTCATGTGCTGTCAGTGTGAGGAGAGGGACTGCAGATAACTGGCATTTCCTCGTTTACATGCGATCAGCTGTGATTGGACACAGCTAATCACATGACAGAGTCGACATCATCTGCTCTTTACTCTGATCTGTGATCCGCTGTGTCCCAGGGACGCCCTGATGAAGTCACGTGTTAAGCGTGACGATACGCATTTGCGGCGACGCACTTCCGGTCGGACGCCTCTTTATTTACACTGGACACCTACGCAAGTACATCTGATCTGAGGTTTGATTTACATGTGATGTACAAGATGATTTTAAATGTGAGCATATTCGATATGTGATACTTTGTTTGGTGAATAAATAGTTTTACACTATGCAAGCATTCACTTATATTTTCTGAGGGATCAAGTGGCTGCAGCCACCTTATGTGCCTGAAGAGGAGATCTGCTGCCCTGTGGGCCTGTGCTGGAATCTGTACATGAGGGGAGGTCAGTGTGGAGAGCTGTGGAGGATTACCTACTATTAAGGGTCCATGTGTTAGTGATCCTGAAGGCCTTTTGACCATGTGCAGGTCGCAAGAGGGAGGTGAGCGGGCAATTCAGCATTTTTGGATATCTCTGCACATTTATCAGCACTTTTTTTTTTTTCTTCAAGAATTGCTGTGGACTTTATATATGTTTTTTTTGTATATTGTCAGGTGTTTTACACCTCATGGGACTTTATATATTTATTCATTTATTCATGTTTGTTTGCATGATCAGTTCTTAGTTTATGCGTTTATTGGGATGCACGTGTGTTTTGTGTTATATGGTGGGAACTGATTTTTTAATTCCGGTGGGAGGTTTTTTAGCACATTGAGTCCTGTTGTGACTTACTTGTTTGATTTGGAGCACTATTGGATCCTATTGCATTACTTGGGGCACCATTTATGTTATTTGGTCCTTTTAGGACCTCGTATTGCCACTTGTCACACGTGATTATTTATGAGTTTTTTTGGCACTATTTAATATTGTGTGTTTATGTTATTTGTGTCACTAATTTTGCACTGTTTCACTTATTCATTTATGTGTGAAGAATTTTTATGGTAGTAGCGCTGCATCATTTGTGTTTCATTTATATTTTTTGTCTATAGGTATATGACTGTATGTAGCAGCTTTACCTTTGTTGGTAGGTATTAGTTTTTAGGTAGGAGCGCAGGAGTTTGTCACATTGATTTAACTACTTGCCAACCGCAGATAGCCGAATGACGGCTACACTGCGGCTGGCCAGTTCTGGGAGGGCGTCATATGACGTCCTCCCAGAACGCACACTCTCCTGTGTGCCCCCGGGGGCGCGGACCCAGCGATCTCCGGTGATGTGGTAAAAGGCCAATCACAGCAGCCTTTTACCACGTGATCAGCCGTGTCCAATGACACGCTGATCACCGGGAAATGCAATTGCCGGTTCTCGGCTGCACTTTCCTCATGCTGTCAGAGCGTGAAAAAAGTACTGCCGAGAACCGACAGTTGTCAGAGCAGGGACCAGCACCGATCATCAGGGCACTGATGATCAATACCCTAATGATCAGTGCCCAGCAGTGCCACCCACCAGTTCCGCCCACCTGTGCCCAGCAGTGCACCCTCCTGTGCCACCCAGCAGTGCCACACACCTGTGCCCAGAAGTGCCACCTACCTGTGCCCAGCAGTGCCACCCACCAGTTCCGCCCACCTGTGCCTAGCAGTGCGCCCAGCAGTGCACCCACCTGTGTTCAGCAGTGCACCCTCCTGTGCCCAGCAATTCACCCACCTGTGCCACCCAGCAGTGCCACACACCTGTGCCCAGAAGTGCCACCTACCTGTGCCCAGCAGTGCCACCCACCTGTGCCCACCCACCTGTGCCCACCAGTGCCACCCACCAGTGCCCATCAGTGAAGCCCAGCACTGCTGCCAGTCAGTGCCACCAGTCAGTGCCCGGTGGTTGTGCCAGTCAGTGCCCAGTCAATGCCTAGCAGTGCCGCCAGTCAGTGCCCAGCAGTGATGCCAGTCAGTGCCACCTATCAGTGCTGGATATCAGTGCCACCTATCAGTGCCGCCTATCCGTGCCACCTCATTAGTGCTGCCTATCAGTGCCGCCTATCAGTGCCACCTCAGTGCTGCCTATCAGTGCCCGTATCAGTGCTGCCTATCAGTGCCCATCAGTGCTGCCTATCATTGCCCATCAGTGCCGCCTATTAGTGCCCATCAGTGCTGCCTCATCAATGCACATCAGTGAAGGAGAACAATTACCTGTTTGAAAAATTTTATAATAGAAACAAAGAAACTTTTTTTTTTTTTTTACATTTTTTGCATTTTTTTTGTTTATAGCGCAAAAAGTAAAGTGCCCAGCAGTGATTAAATACCACCAAAAGAAAGCTCTATTTGTGAGAAAAAAATTATAAAAATTTCATATGGGTACAATCTTGCATGACCGCGCAATTGTCAATCAAAATTCGACAGCGCTGAAAGATGAAAATTGGCCTGGTAAGGAAGGGGGTATAAGTACCCGGTAGGCAAGTGAAACAAATAAGTGATAGGGGTGACAATCCCAGGGGACCACTGTTTAGTTTTTCCTTTCATGGTCTTAACATTCTTCTTGTTCTTTAGGCATGCTGATACTCATTACCTAAGCAGCAGGTGAAGGTAAATCTCTTACTTCCAGTTCTATCTGACATTTGCCATATAGGCAGGAAGTTGGGTGTATCCCATCACTGTCTGATACCCATCAATTAGAGGGGACATAAGGAGATTTCTGTCTCACCCCCATCAATTAGACAGGAAGTGGGCAGATTTACCTTCACTTCCTGTTCTCTCTCACATCGCGTCTCAACCTTTTATTAAGTGAATTATCTGTTCTTATCTCCATGTGTGTCACCGTACTCTTATACATGTTTCCTTTTTCACACAGGATGAAAAGGGGTGTGGGTATTTGGACCTTCTCTGAAGTCTATGGGAAGAATGTGGGGCCATTAGCTTCCTTCCTCCCCTGCCTTTGGGAAGTCTCTCTTAGGGAGACCCCCTCCACCTAGTACTCGTAGGTAGGCTTTGATCATGAGGAGAGGGGTCTGTCAGGGTTTTTTGCTAGGTGGACCTGAGCGTGCCTTACCCCTGGCAGATGGCTTGCACCCCAAGGAGTCGGGGAGGGGACCATATACACACGATAAGGTTCCTTTCCCACAGGCGTTCCGTATGTCCATTTTTCATCTGTCCGTTTACGGATGAAAACCGGACCCCCATGTATTTCTATGGACTTGCGGATGTAAACGGATAAACATCTTTTTACATCTGTTAATGTTCGCATCCGTTAACATCATTTTTTTTAATGGAAGAAAACCCTATTTTTCTTCTGCAAAAAAAACTGGAACGGATGAAAATCGGATGTCAGTGGATGTCAACGGATGTAAACAGATGAAAAACAGATCTAAACGGATGAAAAATGGTTGGAAACCAATGTAAATGCATAAAAATGTATGTAAACGGGTGAAAAATGGATGATAAACTCAACAGTTTTTTCTTTGAAAAAATGTGACTGAACTGAAGAAAAAAAACGGAACGCCTGTGTGAAAGGACCCTTAGTGCACTTTTTGTGTGTGTCATTCATTTTTTAGTTGACTTACGGAGTTTAGTTTTTTGCGCACTGCAAATTTATTTATTATTTTTTTAATCCTGTTTCTCTTATGTTTCATAACTAAACAGGAAGTTGGAAGATTCCCTTTCCCTTCCTGTTCTTACTGACATTTGACAAATAGGAAGCGAGCAGCTTTCCCTTCACTTCCTGTTCTTCCTAACATTTCACAAACAGACAGGAAGTTGTCTGTAATGCCTTTACTTCCTGATCTCCTGACATTTGATGAATAGACAGGAAGTGGGAAAAGTTTATCCGCACTTCAGTTCCATCTGACATCCGTCGAGTGATAAGAAATCTTCAAAATGGGGACTTTGTCAAGACAAGTTTTGTCTTGATTTAGGCTTAGAGTTTGTCTCAAACCAAAACATTGTATCTGGCTTTCTGTAGTAAATTCTGCCCCATTTGGAAATACCATGCTTTCCTGTCTGCCGGAGGCCATCTCTAACCCACTTCGGGAGTTTACAGCTTATTTCTTGTTTTTTTTAAGTACGTGTCACTTCTGTCCTCAGAATCCCTGACAGGTTTTCACTTAGTCCAAGGAGGACATAGCTAAAGGCTACTTCCAGCTGGGCTGCCGGGGTGAGGAATTTATTGCAGACTTTGCTGTCCCCACCCAACTGCTGGAGCTCAAATATTCCTGGATTCTAATAACTCTTATGAATTCACTTGTTCTTCCAGCAAATATAGGTCAGCGTCGAAAGCTTAGAATCCACTGTAATTTCTAGACTAAACCTACATTCAGGGATTCTGCTGAAAAACTCAATGTATATAGCGAGTGAACAATAAAGTAATACTGTATACAAGTGCATAGTAACACTATGGAATATAGTAGGGTTGCACCGAAACCAGTATTAGTATCAGTGCTGATACTAAACATTTGCAAATGCTGTGATACCTGAAACCGATACCTTTGCGGTGAAATTTGAGCCCATACAAAATCAATGGGCTTATATCGCACTGCAAAGAATTGCATGTGATTTGAACAGGAATGCGGTGCGCTTTCTATCCAAATTACATATGGATTCCCTGGGGGCTGTGCGATTTGCAGTCTGATTTGAGCCATTCATTTTGTACGGTGCAAATCGCACCCGCAGGGAAACTGCATGTGATTCGGACAGGAATTACACCACATTCCTGCTCAAATCACCTGCAATTTTTTGCAGTGCTATTTGAACCTATTCATTTTCTATGGGCTCAGATCACACTGCAAAGGTATCGGTAATCGGTATCAGCGAGTGCTTGAGCACAAGTACAGTATCGGTGCTTGTACTAACCGATAGAAATAACGGCATGGGTGCAACCCTAGTATGTAGTATGTAGTAACATTTGTCAATATTAAGTTACTTCAGTTATTTCTCGTTCAGCTAGTGAATTGAACGAAAAACACTGAACTGATTTCCCCATTCATACATTGGATGTGGATGCGGGAATCCTACCTGCCACCCTATTGTATTCTGTAAGTGGGGAGACTCCCCCGCTGTCAGAATACACAGATCAGCGCTGCAGCCGACGATTGAGCATTTTTTATCTGACAGGGGGGTTGAACAGAAGTCAATCAATATAATGACTTCTGTTCATCTGAAGTGACCACTTGTGGATCAAAATTCAGCCAGTCCCTGTTGAACTGGCCTAATTTCGATCCATCTATAGCCACCTTAAAGTGGAACTTTAGTCAGAAAATTAAGTCCTGCTAGATCACTTGATGCTGGCCCCTTTTGCAGGTATAGCTATGAAAAACATTAAAAATAAGTGTCTATACTGTTTAAAATCCAGTAATACACTGTCTCACCCTGCTCTGCACATGCTCAGTTGCTCTCCATTTTTAGGCACTGATGAATTGGTAGAGGCTGATCTGCTGACAGCCTTAAGTGTCTGCATCCAATCCACATGACATGTGAAAAACATTGGTTCCTATGATGCCTGTTCACATATGTCCAGTGCACTGGCAGTGCAGATTCAGTGCGGTTTTAAAAAGAGTCATGTCCAATTTCTGAGCAGTGCGGTCCGGTTCAGGTGTGGATTACAGGCTATTGACTTCTATGGGAACCATTCCTAAACTGTATATGTGTGAACAAGATAAGGTCCTGAGATAATCCTGTCCTGAACCTGACTTAAACCTAATGTGAACCTGTGAACAGCTACTGTATCAGTCAGCTGTGAAACCTGAGCTTCAATCCGCACCACACGTATGTGAATCAGCTTTAAAGCGGAATTGAACCCCCCTATCATTTACAGCCAAGGAAGCTGCTTCTGTTTGATCTGCAACTGCCATGGTTCTGCACATGTGACCAGTTATGACACCAGCCATTTGATGCTTTAACAGTTTGGCTGAGAGCTCAAGCAAATGTGACAGTTAGCAATCCCAGCATTCCAGGAATGTAACTGTTTTTTTTAAACCATTGTATTTATGGGTTTAGTTCTACTTCATGATTTACTGCTGTTCAGGGGCCCTGGGCTTTAGTAAAATAGCAGCCTGCAGCAAGAAGAAACAGGAACAATGCTGGAGGCAATTTACAGCACACACTCATTTTGGTAGCATAATTATTAATGTGGAATGTATGTTCCTTGCTAAAGAACGTTAATTTTTTTAATCAAGTTGTTATGGGTAAAGTTCCACTTTAACTAAAGTTAAAAATAGAAAGTCTTTTTGCACTGTATAAACACAGATTACAGCTAGGGCACAAAGAAAATAATTGTTTTGTATGTGCCCTAGTCACACTGCAACACTGATGTAATGTGTGGTGCGGTAAACTGTGATAAAATCCTTATTTCACATGCATACATACATGCTGTAGCCAATTTAGAGCTCTTTTGGCCATACGTCTGTGTATCACAGGAGTGCACTTTTTTCTGAACTTTTTGACCCAGATTCAGCCAACAGTGGGCTAAAAATTTCTGTTGGCTGACGTCACTCAGCCAGTCTAAGCTCTGCAGGGATCCTGTAAAAAATGCCAAGCCAAATTGGGCATCCCATAATCCCTATTTTCCTTTCCAAGATTATTTCCTCAATAAAACAACAAAACCAAGCCCATGGACTGGTCATTGTCTTTGGACGCAAGTCTGTGTGAGAAATACTTGTTGCCTGGCTGTGCAGAGAGGTTTAAGGACACCCACTACACAGCGGCCCTCACGAGGGTAGCACTGCATACAGGAAAAAACAAAGTCAAAGAGATAAAAACAGACTCTGCCCATCTGCCTGAGGGTATCACTTTGCAACTAGCAATAAAACATTAAGACATTATGGCATAGACTACTTGATAGTTGGAGGGGAAGGGCAGAAAGCATGCAATCCATGAGAAGAAGGAGAAGGAGTAGAAAGTGGGGGTTAGAGTAGGAAAAGAGGAAAGAGGAGGTTGGGATGGGCACCCCCACAG